ATCTTTTACTAATAACCGAGGCTTTTAAGTGATAAGTTTATGACCACAGGTGTGAATGTTTTAAACTAAGTCACCCCTTTCAAGTGTTCCTAGAATCACCTGTTCTGCAGTCTCCTTCTCCCGCCTTTAGGCCACGCCTAGGTAGGCGCGCAGGTGGTAGTTAGCGTGGGGTCTTTGTGCAGTATTATCTGATCTGCTATTACTACACATTTCTGGGCACACTCAGTGTCACTACGCCCTGGTCACGATGCCCTTGGGGGCTGTGGCGTTGCTGGGTTGGGAGTCTCAAAGGAGATGCCGGCCACCCGCTCAATTTCGGACTCGATCCTTGCCCCACCCCCCCAGCATCCTTTGCACCTGCCTTGGGGCCCACCCCCACTCCCAGCCACCCCTGCGGCAGCTGGGACCTCGGTGGGCGTTGCTGGCCCTGTGCAGGGCCCCCCAGGGTTGGCGGGACTGTTAGTGGCAGGAGGCGTTGTGGCTTCGCGGCCCTCTGGGTCGTCCTCGCCTGGGGCGCCCGGCACGTGCAGGCGGGGCCTTCCGGCTGGGCCCCAAGAAGGGCCGACACTGTCCTGGGGCCACAGAGCTGCGGGTAAGGGCGGCGGGGACCCTCTTGGACACCTGCCCTTCGTCTGTCTATCGAGCCCTGGGGACGAGGGCTGGGGAGGGACAGGGCCCAAGCTGGCCTGGTGTTGGCCTGGGTGGGGGGCTGAGTGGAAGTGGAGGACCTTGTCGTTCCCCAGCTTGGGGGGGGGATATGCCTCTGAGCCCCGCCTTCAGTAATCAGGCAGCTGTGCACCAGGCATGACTCAGACAAATGTCCCGACCCTAAAGGGGCTTTCCTTCCTAGCGCAGGAGTGCCCTACACCCTTTGTAACCTTTTCATTGAATCTGTTGGGGTGACGTTGGTTAATAGAATTATATAGCTTTCAGGTGTAGAGTTCTACAATCCATCATCTGAATATTGTATTGTGTGTTCACGCCAATTAAAGTCTCCTCTTCATCGGGCCAAGTGAGCTCTCTCCTAGATTAATGAGTTTGGGGGGGTGTGTGTTCCCCCCAATCATAAGTGAGTAATAATCTCTTTCAAAAACTTTGCCACCATTTATAGTGTAATATATGCATACACATATATGTATACACAACGCAAATATAGATGAATATATATGTGACTTAATGTAGATACATATAACTTCTAATAAGATAATATACAGATTTACACTAATAACATTCATAGATATTATACCGATATTCATGGGATAAACTCCTGAGATGTATCTATCTGTAGATACATATTTCACAGAAATATATCAACACTTATTGTTGGATTTGATTTGCTAATGTTTTATTTAGAATATTTGCATTTATGTTCATAAGTGTTATTGTCTATAAAGCTTTTGGTGCATGTAGTTATTCTTGTCTAATTTGGGAGTCATCACTATTTAGTCAAGAAATGAGTTCGGTAGCTTTCCTTTATTTCTGAAATAGTTTGTGTAAGGATTTTCTCCTCTGGGCATGTTTGATAACGCGCACCTGTAGGCTCTTTCGGCCTGATGTCTTTCACTTCATTGGGGTAAGGCAGTCTTTTGAGTACAGTTTCTTTTTCCTTCATCAGCTTCCAGTGTTATTGATCTTGATTATTGTTTGTTATATTAATTTCTCCTCCTTTGAGTTCATTTTCTAGCTTCTTTACTGAACACTTATTTTTTCAGTCTTTAAAGTACTAAATGAATTTAATGTTCTTTTCAATTTTAATTTCTAAGTTCTAAGAAATGCTGTAGCTGCATCCAAGTTTGAATATGTGATATTTTAATTGTTGAGTGGTTTTGTAATGAGTGATTTTCATTTTTATTTTCTTTTTAATCCATAGTTGTTTGGACTTAATTCTATATTTCAATAAGGTTAATGCTCTTACTATTTTCTTAATTAGTATTTTTTTTGTTAGTTTATTTTGTTCATTAGATTCCACATATAAGTGAAATCATGGTATTTGTCTTTGTTTGACTGCCTTATTTCACTTAGCATAATATTCTCCAGGTCCATTCATGCTGTTGCAAAAGATTTCCTTCCTTTTTTATGGCTGAGTAGTATTCCACTATGTAAATATACCACAGTTTTTTTATCTACTCATCTACTGATGGGCACTTGGGCTGCTTCCGAATCTTAGCTATTGCAAATAACGTTGCAGTGAACATAGGGGTGCATATATTCTTTCAAAATAGTGTTTTGGGTTTCTTCTAGTAAGCTCCCAGAAGTGGGATTTCTGAGTCATACATAAGGCAGTTCCATTTTTAATTTTTTGAGATAACTCCATACTGCTTTCCACAGTGGCTGCACCAGTCTGCATTCCCACCAACAGTGCACAAGGGTTCCCTTTCCGCCCCCCATCCTTGTCAATACTTATTTGTTGATTTGATAGCCATTCTGACAGGTGTGAGTTATTTCACTGCGGTTTTAACTTGCGTTTCTCTGATTAGTGACATTGAGCTTCTTTTCATATGTCTATTGGCCATCTGTATGTCCTCTTTGGAGAAGTGTCTATTCATTTCTAAAAATTGCATTGTTTGCTTTTTTGGTATTGAGATTAGTAAGTTCTTCATAAATTTTGGATATTAACCCCTTATCAGATGTATTGGCAAATATGTTCTCCCATTCAGTGAGTTGTTTTCATTTTGTTGATGGTTTCCTTTACTGTGCAAAAATTTTTTAGTTGGATGTAATCCCATTTGTTTATTTTTTCTATTTACCTTTCCGGAGGAGATACATCAGAAAAAATATTGCTACAAGAAGTGTCCAAGATTTCACTGCCTATGTTTTCTTCTAGGATTTTTATGGTTTCAAGTCTAACATTTAAGTCTTTAAACCATTTGGAGTTTATTCTTGTGTATGGTGTAACAAGGTAGTCTAGTTTTATTTATATTTTTGCACATATCTATCCAGCCCCAACACCATTTATTGGGCAAACTATCTTTACCCCATTGTATGTTCTTGCCTCTTTTGTCAAATATTGATTGACCATAAAGACATGGGTTTATATTAGCATGTTTTTTTTTTTCTTGCCTTCATCTCTGTGTTGCTTGGATTTATCATCATGTGCTTCTTACAAAAAAGCCTCGTGGGTGATATCTTTTCTCATTTTTCATGTTTGAAAATGTTTGCTATCTTCATAGTTGCATAGAACTTGGCTCGCTCTGTATAAAATCATTAAAGCCACTCTTTTTGCCCTGGGGAAATGAATGTTGCTGTGGAGAAGTGTGAAGTTAGCTTCAGATATTTCACTTGTCTGGTAGGTGAAAAAAAAATAGCTCACTTAAGGTTTTTGCACTGTTTGAATAATAGTGAGATTGAGCCACTTTTCTTAGGTTTATTGGGTGTTTGGTTGTAATGGTGATGGCATGAACTATAAGCCATTCCCAAACTGAAGCAGGTGTTGGGATTACTGCAGACTCTCTTGTAGGGCTGGCAGAGGATGGGGCAGGGGTCACATCTGGCCTCCCACCTGTTTTCTTAATGGCCTGCAGCTGAGTGGTTTCTACAAAGAAATTTATTGCCAGGCAACACTAAGTTTGAATCCCAGGTAGGTGGCATGTTATCCTTCTCAAAAGCATTGTTTTTCTCATTAATAGGCCTGTACTTTTAAAAATTGGACTCAGTATTATTATTATGTGTTGAATTTCTTCAATAAAACATTTGTGCCCTGGCTGGTTTGGCTCAGCGGTTGGAGCATCGGCCCACAGAGCAGAGTCTTGGGTTCGATTCCGGTCAAAGGCACGTACCTCGGTTGTGGTTCAGTCCCTGGCCCTGGTTGGGGTCATGTGGGAGGCAACCCATAGATGTGTCTCTCACATCGATGTTTCTCCCCCACTTTATATGAAGATAAATGGAAAAAATATCCTCGGGTGAGGATTAAAAAAATTTGCAAAAATATGTTTTCTCTTTTGTTATATGAATATACGTATTTTTGTCTTCTGGCCCACAAGCCTAAAATATTTACTCTTTGGCCTTTGTTTCTGAAAAATTCTGCTCGCCTCTGCTCTATTGCAGATCCAGAGAGGATTGGATTCAGGGGTGCTTTTTAACCGGTGGGATTCTCCCTTAGCATCTGTGTCTTCATCTTATCGTGAGTGTGGGCTCCCTAGCTCTCCCCTTCAGCCTTTGGCTGCAGTGAGTGGTCCTTCTGTGGCCGTTCTTGGGCCTGTCTGGGTCCTTACTGGAACCTTTGGGCCCGGAGTCTGCTCCCTAGGTAGAGGGCCCCACCGATGGCGCAGCTGGCTGCCACGTGTCCCATCACTGCAGGTCCAGGAACTGCGGGGGCCCCTGGCCTACTTCAGTCTGTCTGCTTCGATTTGCCGGAAGCTTGTTCCCTTGCCGGTTGAAGCTGTTTCCATCTTACACTGATTCCAGGCTAGCACCTTGGTTTAAATTCGTGAGCGTTTACGTCCACGAGGTGTGTCATCTTTATTCGGAGACTTTCTGGGTGGGGTTAGATTTCCCTCTGTGATCAGAAAGAGACCCTTTCCTTTGCCCATTCCGAGACCCATCGGTTTGCTCGCTCTGTCCTGCTGAGCCGTGCCGGCGGTGTGTGGAGGTGGCCCTTTGGTTCTAGGGGATGGGGACACAGTCCAGCAGCTCAGGCTGCCTGCTCTACTGACGTCCCTGAGCTCCTTCCGATGCTTTTCCCTAAGGACATTATCTTCACACTGGCCCTTATCTTCAGGAAGGTCAATTAGAATTCTATTTACACAAACACATGCGTGTAGGAAGGAAAGATGAGCCTTGGAGAGGAGGTCAGGCTGTATCAGGAGGTGGCCCAGAAGCCTGACTGGCACGGGAGGGGCCTGGGGCCCACAGCGTGCGGAAGGGCACCTGAAGGTAATGGGGTATTAGACTGAGCAGCCGTATGTGCAGTTCTGAATGCCCCTCGTCATCGCCGGGAAATCACCTTTTCTATTAAACAATATTTTTACAGCCCAGTCCTTCAGTTTTGTTCAGAAAAAAATATGGCAACCTATATACCCATTGATTCGACAACACGAAATCGAGATGTGAGCGGGGAGAAAAGCAAAGCAAAACCGAGGTAAAAATGAGATACGGTAAAGTTCAAATGTCAACAGTGTGTGGCTCCTGGTAAGTGAGTCCGACCGTGAAAAATGTTACGTGTCCTACGAGGGTTGGTGAGGGTTCTGGAGATGAGAAAACCTTACTTTCTGGGGGAGCGGGACCTCGTGACACTGGCTGCTGGCGCCTTCCCCAGACTAACCTGGATATGCCAGAAAAGTGACAAAGAGGTTGATGGATGCGAGAAAAGCACCAACGTTTGAGAAATCCCAGGACGGCAAAGGTGATTAGTTCTGGATTTGGATGTGGGCGGAAAATGGCATTCGGAGCAGGTGGAGAAATTAGAAGTCAGTTCCAAGAGGTTAAGTAGAAAACCTCCATTCATTTAGGAACGAAACCGAATATCTGAAAAACAGACAGACACTTTTATGAATAACTCATGGGTGAAAGGAGGACCCTAAAGGAAATTAGCAAAAACTGAGAACTGAATATATAGGAAAGAAAAAAAAAGAGGAGGGACCTTTAAGTACTGCATTAACTGTGACACACAGATGTAGCTATTTCAGTGTTTAGAGAGAAATTTATAGTCATAAAAACATAAAAAATAAGAAAGGCTGAAAAATTAACTCGCTAACAATCTGCTTTAAGGAATTGGGAGGGCAAACTGAACAGAATAACACTTTTTTTTTTCCTGGAAATAAAATATTTTAATTCAGTTCCACTTAAAAAACAAAAGAGGAAGAGAGAGAGAGAAACATCGATGAGAAGGTATGTCGATTGGCCACCTCCTGCATGAACCCACTGGGGATTGGGCACACAACCTGGGCATGTGTCCTGACCAGGAATCAAACCCGTGACCTCTTGGTGCATGGGTCATTGATTGGCCACCTCCTGCATGACCCCACTGGGGATTGGGCACACAACCTGGGCATGTGTCCTGACCAGGAATCAAACCCGTGACCTCTTGGTGCATGGGTCAATGCTCAACCACTGAGCTACACCAGCTAGGCATATCTGGTACCTTTTAAAACTAACATGTAATATGATTATTTTCTAAAAGTCAGTTCATAGATGATGATTTAATGTTTGGCAAGCCTCTTCTGAACCATTTCAATAGGTGTATTCATATGAGAATTCAATAATAGTCTTAATTATTAGCCTCAAGCTAAAGCTTCAGCAATTGGAGTTACCAGCTAGCAGTGTGTGGAAGTCCTATCAGGTTGTACTGTTTGGTTTACAGTTGCTGTCCTTTCAAGTGGCACATAATTAATTCTTTGTGCAGAGGGAAAAAAGCACTCAAAGTTGAAGAAAGGAGATAAAAATTATTATAAATCAAAGAGAAAATCAGCAAAGGCAACAGCTGTCAGTAAAACTGACAGACCTTTGACAAGATTGACAAAGCAAAAGAAAAAAAAGAAATCACGAATAGACGAGGGTGTGACACCGCCCAGCTCCAGGGGGCCCCAGTCGCAGTGTGTTCTCTCGACACACTCACCCAGGGACCACAGCGTGAATGGTGGACCGTGCAGCTGTGCCCTGCAGAGGCCCCGTGACCAGTGTCCGACCAGAGAAGGAGATGAGCACTACAATTAAAAAGATAAGAGAAGGCGAGCCATTTCATGGCAATAAGTTGAAAACTTAGACAAAATGTAAAACTTTTTAAGAACAATATAAGTAAACAAAATAGGCTCAGTAAGAAATAGACGAGACGAAATTAATAAAATAAAAAGAAGATGAAATGTCTTTTAACCACTAACGTGGTTGTATTATGAATCGCTCCCACTCCACCTGTTCCTCCTCCCTTCACAGACCGCATGCCCAGATGAATTTAGAGTTTTTGAATTTCTAACAGATTTATGAGTTCTAACAAAAATTCAAGAAACAGGTAACTCCAAGCTCACACAACTTCTACAGAATAGAAGAGGAGAAAATAGTCCCTAGCTCAATTTATAAGGGTAGTTTATACAACGTTTCAAGTCAGTTTCATTCATGACCTTAAAAGCAAAAAATCCTAAATAAAATATTAACCTACAGATTATAGCAGTGTATAAATATGGATGATATGTCAAGATCAAATTGAGCAGTTTATCTCAGAAACGCAAGGTTAGTTCAACATTAGAAAAGCTGTCACTATCAATCACCATTAATAGATCAAGGGAAGAAAAACATTTAATAAAATTCAGTATCTCAAAAAGTCTTAGCAAACTACTTGATTAAGGACATTTACCTGAAACCTAAAGCAGATACCACGTTTAATGGTCAACTGTTAAAAACATTTCAATTCAGAAAAGTAACAAGGATGCTGGCTATTGTCACTTGTTTGACATCCTATAGTAAGTCCTAGGGCAGTAAGACAAAAAAGGAAAAAAAGAAATGAAGCTACAAGGCTTGAAAAAGGAGAAACTAACGAGAAGCATTCACAGGTGAAGTGATTATCTACAAAGAAGGTACAAAAGAATTTGCAAAGTTAACGAATTTAGCAAGGTTGCTAGATTAAAATCAGTCTGTAAGTGAAACGCATTTCTGTAGTCCAGCAGGAGATTGGACATGTAATTAAATCCTAACTGCCGTTTGTAATAGTAATGAAAAATCAGGTACCTAGAAAAAGTTGATTTTAAAATGATGTGTTTGGCTTTTATGGAGAAAATTATAAAATTTAAATAAGAACATAAAATTTATATAGAAAAGCAAAGGACTAGGAATAGGTAACCACTGTTTAAGAAAAGAAAATGTAGGGGTCTTATAGCTACCAAAACTATAGTACTTAAAGTATAATGATAGAGAAACAAGGTCAGACAAATAAAAGTAAAGATGCAGGGACAGCCTGGCCGGTGTGGCTTAGTGGATTGAGCGTCGGCCCATGGACTGATAGGTCCCAGTTTGATTCCCGGTCAGGGCACATGCCCAGGTTTCAGGCTCCACCCCCAATAGGGGGCGTGCAGGGGGCCGCTGATCAATGTTTCTCACATCAATGTTTCTCTTTCTCTCTCTCAAAAAACAATAAAAACATTTAAAATTTTTTCTTTGTTAAAAAAAAAAAAAAAAAAGGCAGGGATAGATAACTAGACATTTTGAGTGATGACAGACTTGGTGTTACAGGTCAGCGAGGGAAAGGACGGTGGTCAGTAATGGAGCTGTGACAACTGTGTATCCTTATGGGGAGGGGAGGAGAGAAATTGGATCTGACCGTCACACCATACTCAAAACTCAAGGATTTAAGAACTTATGTATAGCCCTGGCCAGTTTTGCTCAGCAGTTAGAGCATTGGCCTGCGGACCAGAGAGTCCTGGTTCGGTTCCCGCTAAGGGCACGTACCTCGGTTGCAGTTTGTCCCTGGCCCCGGTTGGGGTCGTGTAGGTGGCAACCAGTCGATGTGTCTCTCTCACATTGATGTTTCTCTTTCTCTCTCTCTTCCTCCCTCTCTCCCTCCTGCTCTATCTGAAGATAAATGCAAAAATGTCCTCAGTGAGGATAAAAAAAAGGACACATGTATGAATTATAAGACTTGTCAAAGGCAAAACTAAAATTGTTAGGAAAAGTATAAGAGAATTTTGTCATTACCTTGGAGTAAGGAACTATTACCTAAGCAAGACATAAACCACACACACCACATAGGCAAAGACAGATAAACCAGACTGTATTAAAGAAAATAATTGTTTGTCAAGACTTCATCAAGAAAGTGCAAAGTACAAACATATTTTCAACACATGTAAAATGACAAAAGATTACAATTCAAAATTTGAAAAGAACTTCTAAACATTGTTTTTTTTAAAAAAGTAAATAATTTAGTGCAAAAAAGAAAGAACAAAGTATGTGGGTAGACATTTCAGTTAAGAAGAGACTGTTCAGGGGTTTATCAACCCAGTGGGCCTCCCAGAGTGCTCAGAGGAAAAGGGTCTAAGAATACCTTTTAAAGCTATCTATACAACGTCTGAAGAAGGTGTGCTTTTTTGTTGTTGTTGTTTGTTTTTTGTTTTTTTATCCTCACCCGAGGACATTGTTCCATAACCAGGGCCGGGGACAAACTGCAACCGAGGTACATGCCCTTAGCGGGAACCGAACCTGGGTCTCTCCGGACCGCAGGCCGACACTCTAACCGCTGAGCCAAACCGGCCAGGGCAAGGTGTGCTTTTTTTGTTTTTGAAGAGAAGTATTAACTTCTTCATGTATTTTTGTTCACTATATCAAGGTTTTGTTTTTTCCCCACTGAGAGGTATATGTAAAGATTTACAGAACCGCAAATCTCCTCTGCTTTATAAAAATGTGGTCTATGGCTTAAGTCAGTTGTACACAGTGAGTTTGGATTCTGTTCTTATGAAAGGGTTTTTCCAACATTTACAAAGTAGGCAGTTGGTTCATGTATTGGGAAAAGCTCTCAGTTTTAACCCTGATATAGGTTGTTGGTGGTTGCTTTTGTTGTTTTATAAAGGAGGGGAATACATGAGTATTGAATTTCAGAAAACTCTGCTCTGCACTAATTTGAGTAATGTTTCTTCATCTTTTAAAATTTGATGAGGATTCTTAATTCCGTTCCAACTTTAAAATGTTAATGATGATATTACTTAAGTCTCTCTAGGTTTCAGATCTGCTTATCAAAGTGCCTACCAGAAATTTCTTGAAAGGGTAGCTACTGTATTATAAAGTGAAGAATGAAGATTTTTGACTCTCAAGTTATAGAGAATGTTAACCCCATAGCATTTTACTTTCTTTGTCATAGTAGACGTTCAGAACATGAAGAGCAAAATTACAGATACAGCCTACCATCAGAGAATCAACCAGCTAAAGCGACAGAAAAGGAAACTTTGCAATATAGAACATTTTCTGCGCCCTTGAAGGCAGGAAAAAAAGAAGACATTTATCAACATGATTACTATCCAGGCATGTTGATTTTTCTTTTATGGGGATGAAAAGGAGTTTCATAGCATTAAACCAAGATAACAAGTGAAATATATTGGAATACTAGAGTCTACTTTCAAAATACAAGGTTTGGTACTTGACTAATTTCACTAGTCTTAACAATTAGCATTATCTTTACATATAAACCTTGCATTTTAAAGGAAACATATTCTAAATTCTGATTATAGTATTAAAAATGACAACAGCAATATCATTGCCATCACCAAGAATATCTGACATTCCTATAGCAGTGCGCCTCACATCCCTTTCAGGAACTTCTCTCTCTCTCTTCCCCCTCCCTCTCCTCCCTCCCACAAGGTAAAGACCCTAAAGGTGGGTCAACATTCTCCTAAGTCCCCCGGCCTACTGGCTGTTGGGACCTCTGCTGCTCTTGGCTGCCCGCGTCCTGGTTAGTCCTCCACAGAACCACTTTTTTGGCTTCCTTCTCCTAATCCCAAATTCTGCCATTTCTTTCTTTCTTTCTTTTTTTTTATCCTCACCGGAGGGCATTTTTCCACTTTTTGTTCAGATAGAGTGGGAGGGGGAGAGAGGAAGAGAGAGAGAGAGAGAAACATCGATGTGAAAGAGACACATCGAGTGGCTGCCACCCGCACAACCCAACCAGGGCCGGGGACAAACTGCAACCGAGGTACATGCCCTTAGCGGGAACCGAACCCGGGTCTCTCTGGACCGCAGGCCGATGCTCTAACTGCTGAGCCAAACCAGCCAGGGCAAATTCTGCTATTTTCAATGTTAAATTGTTTTTCAACACATCTTCCTTTTTTATCCAGCTGTTTTGTATCCTCACTTTTACAAAAGTTATTCTTGGGTCTCCACTCTTGTTTTTACCTGGTCCTGGGTCAGCCACTGTTCCCAGGATCTGGACTCCCTGTCCCCATTTCTTCCCTCTGCACCTGGATTGGCAACACATCAGTGCTAAGCAGCCTAACTGTGTTCTCTGCTTTGACCCTTGGGTTGCTGAGCCTTTTTGCAGAAAACTTACACAATCACATTGATTGGTTCCTTGTCCTAATTCATGGTCTCCAGCGTCAGGGAGCCAACTCAATACTGCCTGGTGTCATGTTATGTCTCCTTTTTAGTTTTCCCTCCCATTAATCACAACATCTGTTTAAATTGTCACAATTTAACCGTTAGCCTCTCTTACTTGACTATGCCGCCTACTTTATAAAAATAAAAATTAAAAATAGGGTAATCAAATGGAAACATGTAAATTCCAGCTCCCTAGCACCATCTGCAGTACATTCTTGTCTTCGGCTGACTGGGCCTCCTCCCCTGTCAGGTCAGCCCACCACGCAGAACTGGGGCTCCTCCCCTGCCACGCCCTCAGAGCTGGGGCTCCTTCCCTGTCAGGTCAGCCCACCACTCAGAAGTGGGGCTCCTCCCCTGCCACGCCCTCAGAACTGGGGCTCCTCCCCTGCCACGCCCTCAGAGCTGGGGCTCCTTCCCTGTCAGGTCAGCCCACCACTCAGAAGTGGGGCTCCTCCCCTGCCACACCCTCAGAACTGGGGCTCCTCCCCTGCCACACCCTCAGAACTGGGGCTCCTCCCCTGTCAGATCAGCCCACCACTCAACTGGGGCTCCTCCCCTGCCACGCCCTCAGAACTGGGGCTCCTCTCCTGTCACGCCCTCAGAGCTGCGGCTCCTCCCCTGCCACGCCCTCAGAACTGGGGCTCCATCTGTCATCTCGCTCATCTTCCTTCCTACCATATGATCCGCAGTTCAGCTTCTTAATATTTATCCAAAGGAAACAAAAACTCTAATTTGAAAAGATATATTAACACCTCCACGTTCATTGAAGCATTATTTACAAGACATGGAAACAACCTGCGTGTCCATCAATGGATGAATGGATAAAGAAATTGTGTATACACACACACACACCTACACATATCTACACACACATATATGTTTGCATATACACCACAGTATGTATACACACATATATATGTAATGTATACACACACACGGGGATATTCTTCAGCCATATAAAAGAGGGAAATCTTGCCATTGCAACAATGTGGAGAGACCTCAAGGGCATTGTGCTAAGTGGAATAAGTCAGAGAAAGACGAATACTGGATGACAAATTCTCACTTATATGTAAAACCTAAAACAAAAGAAAACAAACTCAGATGCAGAGAACAGAGTGGTATTGCCAGGGGCTGAGGGTGGAGGCAGGTAAAATGGGTGAAGGTGGTCACAAGTACAAACTTCCAGGTATGAATTAAGTTATGAGGGTGTAATGTACAGCATGGTGACTTGTTAATACTGTAATGTAAATTAAAAATTGCTAAGGGAGTAAATCTTAAAATTGTCATAAGAAAAGTTTGGAACTGTATGGTGAGGGATGTTAACTAGACTTGCTGTGGTGAACATTTCACAATATATACAAATACCAGATTATTATATTGTACATCTTTAACTGATATATTATTTGTCAGTTATATCTCAATAAAAATGGAGTGGTCTAAAGTATCAAATAACACTGATGGTTTAACTGAGGGAGGACCGAAGACGTCCATTGAGTTTAATGTCCTGAAGGATGTTGTCACGTGAGCGCTGTTTTCTTGGGGTTCCGAACCTGGCTGGAATGGAGTAAGAAGTGGCTGGTACATGAGAAAATAGAACAGTGACGACAGGCAGCTCCTGTAGGAATCTGGCTGTGCAGAAAGGCGAGAGCTAGGTTGCTGATTAGAAGGAGCTGTGGTCTAGGAGCAGGTGCTATTTCAGGCGGAGCTGCTTGGATCAGCAGTAGAGAAAAGGAATAGTTAAGAGTGTAGGCGTGAAGGGATGGTCAGGGTTGGCTCTGGATGGAAGGAGAAATAGAAGTCTTTCTTAGACAGTGGGGCAGGAGGGAAGGGTGGGGCGGGGGGAAGGGTGAGGCAGGGGGAAGGGTGGGGCAGGAGGGAAGGGCGGGGCAGGAGAGAAGGCGGGGCCGGAGGGAAGAGTGGGGCACGGGAAAAGGATGGGGGCAGAGGCAGGTTTGCTTAGCTTACTTGGCAAGTTGAAGGAATTCCATCTGATGCCTTATGTTCCCTGGGAAGAAGGCAATGAGATTGGTTGAAGTGGAGAGATTGGAGGTAAAGAAAGGATTGGAGATTTCAGAAACATGGAGAAAATCAGAAGTAGCCATAAAATCCAGAAGAGCAAGTTAACCGAACAGGATTTCACGTTTGTGTTCAAGGTCCACTTGTGATTAATTAAAATGAATCTTGGAGATTGCCAATCCACCCATTAATGGGCCTTTCTCGACTAGCACTAGGCTGTGGGATGTAGGCACAGAGACACAGAGTTGGGTTCATCTGGGACTGGTATTTTGCCATATAGGTAAGACCAGAAGAAAGAGTGTAGGATATTTGTAAGAGTATTGTTGAAAGAGAACATAATCTTGGCTGGGTAAAGAGAAAGATGGAAAAAAAAATAGAGGGATGGTAGATTGTAAGGAATTAATGGGGCAGTGAACGGGGGTACTGATGAGGCATACAAAGGGACATTTCTGGAGTGTTAGGCATGCTGGAAGGTTCACAGCCAATGATGACGAGCACTAGGGTGTAATCCTGGGAGTGACAGGTTGACGTGGACTAGAGGTGAGAGGATTCTGCAAAGTGGAAGGGGGCATCATATCAGACAGGTCTTAATTCGCGATCACTAAATTCTTCCAGAATCATGGCAGGTTTGACACAGAGAAAGTAGGCCATCCTGGAGCCACAGTTCCAGGGTAACTGAGTGGCCAGGCAGTTGGTGGATGTCAATGATTTTTTTTTTTTTTTTTTTTGAAGAGGGCAAGTTGTAAGGGTTTGGAGGTGGTAAATGGGGAGCAAGGAGGAAAACAAGCCCACTTCCCAATCATGAGATGTATGGGGTGTTGGAGTATAGACAGCCACTACTTGGGAAGCTTACATGTTACTGGTGTGTTTAGTAAATAACTAGGTTTCAGTGAACCTAACATCTTGGAAGGGATGTTAAGCCTTTAAGAAGGTTTTCACAGTTACCTCACACGAACTTTCCACTGAAGCTCACATTTTCTCATTCTGATGTCCTGTACAATCCTCCTGTTTTCCTGTCTGTCTCTCATCTCCAGCCCTGTCCCCACCCCACAATGACCATCATGCAACATTTGCATCCTTGGAATGGGACGGTATGTGGTATCCTCTGATTATACAAATTCTCTCTCTCTTCCTCTCTCCCTCTCTCCTTCCCTCCCCATCTCTCTTCCCCCTCTGTCTCCCCCTCCCCCTCCCCCTCTCTCTTTCTTCCATCCCCCAATTAGGACTGTGGGCTGAAGTAGAACTTACTGTTTCATTTATACTCATTTTGTTTTGCTTGTAATTATTGTGTCTTATTACCTACTTGATTGTAGCTCAGTGCCTTGCACCATATAAATATTCGTTAAATAATGAAGAGAAGAGGCGAATTTTATTTGCTTTTTAGAAACCCTATTTTCGATAATTTCCCCCTTCTTCTTCGTGTTGAAAATCCACCAGTCAGGTAAGTCACAGAAGGAGTGAGAAAGAGGCCCTGTGCTACTTTTCTGCACTTATAGCTAAACATTTTCTGGGCTCAGTTACCAAATTACAGTGACTAAAAAGGGTTTGGGTATGTATTTCATAACAAGGCTTCACATTTTGTAATAATAAAATCAATAACTAATACTTACCTTAATAAGCACTTACTGTGTGCTTTAAACATGTTTACTAATTTAGTCCTTGTAACCCCCTATGAGGTTTTTACTGTAAAACTCCTTGGTTCAAAGGTGAGTAAAGTAAGGCAGACAGGTAACTGACAGAGTAAATCACAGAACAATGGTAAAGCTTGTAACAGAACTTGGAACCACGGTGCTTTGACTTAGAGCCTGTGAAAATACTGTAATGATATAACGACCAACGGTTGCTTAGTTTGTGACTTACCATGGTATTTATAGCTCACACTGGTTA